GCGAGCTATGGAGAGGGCTATGCTCGGAGTTTCACTGCGTGATAGACTCAGAAATGAGGATATCCGCAGTAAAACCAGATTGACCGACATAGCCCAACGGATTAGTAAGCTGAAGTGGCAATGGGCCGGCCATATAGCTCGAAGAACCGATAACCGATGGGGAAGAAAGGTTCTCGAGTGGCAGCCTCGTACCGGTAGGCGTAGTGTAGGGCGACCCCCCACTAGATGGAGTGACGACCTGGTAAGATATGCAGGAAGTCGATGGATGCAGGTGGCTCAGGACCGTGCTTTGTGGCATTACTTGGGGGAGGCCTATGTTCAGCAGTGGACTTGTGAAGGGCTGTGATGATGATGATGATGATGAATATATATATATATATATATATATATATATATATATATATATATAATATACAATCCTTTAATATTGTTCAATTTTCTCGGAACCAAGACCAAACATACAAATTCTTCATTGGATACTACAAGAGAGAAGGCGTCTGCTACATTCGTACATCTGCATACCTTGAATAAAGGAGATTTGAACGCGGAGAATGCGACTTTATATAATTAAAGCTGGAGAATTCGGGTCGCTGGATGAAATGCACTGACATTGCTCGGTTGTTTCAATTCCGTTCTATCAAGTCGAGTCGAGCTAAAGCTTTAGTGTAGCGGCGGGAGAACAAGGGAAAGCTCGCTTGTACGAAGTCGCTCCCGCGCTGAAACCGCGAAATTTTTTAAAAGCGCTTAGAAAAATTAACCAAGCAAAATACACGCGCATATTACCTATCTTTATTATTAAATAAAATAACAATTTTACATCAATAAAGTTATTAAAGTGCATAAAATCTGATCACATTGGTAAGTCTAAAGCGAAATGTTAATACGATTTCCAATGTTATAAATAACTTCAGTATTCAATACTACAGTAATACATAATCTGTTTGGTAATAATAGTTATTATTACCAAACAGATTTTGAAAAATTAGTGCGTAATAAAAAAATAGTAAGTGTTCTTAATAGATATATCGGTACTCAGGTTCTTAAATGTAATTTAATATTTTTATTCCATAGTTCCAAAAGTTTTAAGCCAAGCATGTATGGAAATAGATTTTTACGTAATAATACTTTTTATGTTATAATATATAACCTATTTCAGTCAATATATTAGTATATGTAACGGATACTGAATAAAACGGAAAATGCATTTTTATTTAAATAGATTTTTTCTAGGTTTATCATTAATATTCGCAATATTCGTTAGTTTTAACTTATTATTATGCTTATATATTGATGAACTCCGTTCCGATACTTAGAAATTAATTAATAATTTAATAATTGTATGATGTTAATAGTGTAAAACAGTACCTAACCTACTTTAAAAAGGAAATTTTCTACTGCCACATATTTCAAGTGCTACCTCTTCTAGTTCAGTTAGTGTACTGTAAGATGTAAAGTAGTTGCTCATACAATATTAATTAGAGTAGGTACATGTGTGTGTGTGTGTGTGTGTGTGTGTGTGTGTGTGTGTGTGTGTGTGTGTGTGTGTGTGTGTGTGTGTGTGTGTGTGTGTGTGTGTGTGTGTGTGTGTGTGTTTCATTAGTGCAACAGAATTAATAGTTCCAAATTTTTATCGTTTACTTCCATTAGTAATTTTGATTTCAATTTTGAGTCAATGATTTCATTGAGCTTCTAATCTTTTAAATTTATTTATTCGTTATTGCATTTTTTGCGTACATATATGTTCAAATTTATTTTTTATTTTATTACTGGCCAACAAATATATATTCTCGATATATTTTAATAAACATTAGTTATTTAAGCAAATCAAAACTCTTTATGATAAAGATGTCCTCCAGACCAATTTGGATGGAGATGACCAATTTCGTATGCTGGCTAACGCTGTCAACTGCACTAAATGCATTAAAGTGCTTCACACTAATGTACGCACACAAAGGCGTTCTAAGACACCTGTAACCTATATAATATAATGCTTTCGCCATTAAATTGGATTGGTCAGTGACGGAGGTAACAATCACATAAACATGTTAAGCAACTTGGGCTTCGATACAAACCCTATAGTGTAATTGTGTAACTCTATTAAGAATCATTATTGGCGGTAAACGTAGTTACGTTTTTTTTATTATGATAACTTTTTGAGTTGTAACAAAATTTTAATTTAAAAAATACATCGGCTTTTAATCGATGGTTATACATTTTACACAATACAACAAAACTGAACATCAAACGACTAAACTATGCCATCTCGGATGTTTCCAGAGTTACACAATCGTACTGCAAGACCTGTACCAGTCGTCAAAATTCTTATGTAATGTTATATTAACAGTTACCTTGTCCGCGAAATAGACACAATAGTGCAATCGAAATTTTCATACTTATATGAATCTTGGGACAGGTAAAGGGTTAACACGGAAGATTATATGTATTCAGAAAAGACTTAAATTTAGAGTGAGTAAAACAATAAAAAAATAATTAACTTCATTAGCTATATACAATATGTAACGTAATTAACGCACACCCTCAGACACCCCAATTAGAATATTATGTTATAATCATAATACATACACTGAATTTTTAGTTAAACATTTTTATGCACTGATTATTTATCAAATTATTTATACTAATTACGGAAGAATGTTGTCGTCACAGTACAAATCCACGAACGCAAAGACTTTAACATGCTTGAAATAAAGTTCATTTTTCTTTATTTTTATTGAATAACAGAATTAGTAATAATACAAATAAAACTGCACTCTTAAAAGTCTTATTGCCTTAAGTTACCGTCCATTTCAGTTTGTTTTGACTGTACAGATTTAGTGTGACTGTAATTTACGTAGTTTTAATTATTTTTGGGATAAAAAATTACCTATATTAAAAATGATAGGAATCGATTCAGTAAACGATTCTGAACAAACTACTTTCTCAAAGTGCGTTAATTATGTTACATGTTGTATATAAAGAAAAACGGATTTTAGATCGTAGCTTCCTACCTACCTCTAACCAACTAATGCAAAATAGGATTGCCCTATATTGCATTAGTTGGTGAGAGGCTGCTTATATCGGACAGATCCAATATAGGAAGATCCTATATTGGATAGCTGCAATGTAATAAACCCAAATGCAGGTGATTGCGGTACAATAACTTGATCTATACTCATATTAAGGAATTTCTAAAAAAAAAAAAAAAAGATTTATTTCGAAAAAAAAAAAGTATTATTTTTCGCTTCATTTTAATTTAATCGGAGTTCTATGTATTTATCGGTGTAAACGGTGTCAGTCAATGTTCTTGGTTCCTGCGATACAAGCCTAGAGCTTAGTGCAGAAACCAGTGTATTGCTTAATTATGTAATGTTTTTTGGTTAAATAAATACATTTTCTATTTCTATTCTATTTTTTCTATTATATTTTTAAAACGATTCATGTCTTCTTAAGAAAATACGAAAAGTTAGCCCCCGATCCAACATTGTTATTTCTATTTTGAGAAATTTTTTCGTACATGTGAGAGAAGGTAAAAACTCAAAGCACTTATGCTAATGAGTTTGAAAACATCAGAGTACTAGAACTACAAAAGCAAAAACGATGCAAGAAGTATTTTAAGGGGGGATCTCTACAGAAAACAGGCACATAATTAAACATGTGTGTTAGAATAACTTGTCACAAAGTAGTGACAGAATTTGGTTTCTTCAACTCAATATTTAACCTTATGAACACCAGACACGGTCAGTTCAGTGATCATTCCAACTGATCAGTTTAAACTTAAACTGTTGATTGAATAAAACTATTATTTACGGATTTTTTCGCGTTTAATTACTTTAATTTATTTTTATTATTATCCCGACGTTTCGGGTGCTTTACAGCGCCCATGGTCACGGGGGGACTGAGCTGTTTGACGTCCCAATGTCATAGTTACAAATCGGACCAAAAATTAAAATTAAAAAAATTAAAAAAAAAATTAATATTAAAAAAACTGAAGGTAGCCGGACTAACTATGACATTGGGACGTCAAACAGCTCAATCCCCCCCCGTGACCATGGGCGCTGTAAAGCACCCGAAACGTCGGGATAATAATAAAAATAAATTAAAGTAATTAAACGCGAAAAAATCCGTAAATAATAGTTTTATTCAATGTGTAGTGTTCGCGTAAATTTAAGAAATCATTAAACTGTTGATATTTTTTAAAAATATAGAATTTTTGATATATCGATAATTATAAATATATCAATATCGGAGTTTTATATATAAGTTTATTTATCGAAAATTCAATATTTTAAAAAATATCAAAAGTTTTAAAACTGTTGATATTTTTTTCTTTATCTGACCGTGTGTTATCCTATTTTCAGCTAATATTGTTTGCTGGCCAAGTCACCATAAACTAGAGAGTATAACTTATTTTATTTAAATGGAGGTAAACTGTTATTACATAGCGATGAGATACCAACTGTGGATAATCGACGCTTGTGTAATCAAGGTTTATTTATTACGGCTGCATGAGTATAATTTCGATAATATTATTAAATTATGATTGCTTGGCGGCGATAGAAGCCATTGAGATTTTTTTATTTTTTATAAAGAATAAAGAATTATAGACTTTTTAAGATCGCTCTATTCATCCTTTAAAACTTTTTTGTAACTATTACCAAACGAAAAAAGATAACATGAGTAGTGAGGGAGTCAACATTATAATAATTCTATTTTAAATCTTTCGGCCGCAAGGTAGCAGGACACCCATTTTTGTATTACGTTTAAAAGCCAGATAAATTTCAGACTATATGACCTCCATTATGATATATTCCTCGATAGTCATTTACCATGAAGAGAACTGTTAGCTCGTATACCATCCTAATATTATAAAATAATATATCCGCACATTTTTGAAAAAATATGTCAAATTAAACGAAAATAGGTAGGTAGGACTAACGTGAACAACAGCAGAAATATTTTTAATATGATAAGTACATCTTACTATATTTAGATGGGACACAATGACACGATTGAGAGCAACAGATTCTTTAGCAATACTTGGTCAACTGAGCACCAATGTCGCCACCACCACCACCACAACGACAGCCGCTACTAACGTAGCGTCGGTTGCCAAGTCCAGCACAAACGGAAATAAAAGACCAACCATCATTATTTATCCAACTGGTGAGTCTCATTTATACTCATATTATTTAATTAGACTTTAATGTAATGCAAAAAATATAATCATAATAAACTATCAATTCGGGCCGCCTTCGTACCGATGATTTTTGGATCTCGACAATCCAAACGTGAATCTAAACTATCCACTACTCAATTATAAACAGAAAAATTATCAAAATCAGTCTAGCTGGTAAAAAACACAATTATAGAAGAATTTTATATATAACTTCGAACAAGTATGTAACTTGACCTCTAAGGTCCTGGAGTACTCGAGCGAGTACATCAAAATATAAATAATCTACACTCATCAAAATTATTTCATTTAAATTTTTACGGGTTTGATTGTATGCCACATAGCAAGAGCATATCGATTAAAAATAATTAAGGCTTGTAACCAATCACCGTTCAGTGTGCGCACAAAATCTTGCCTTTGCATTCATGACACAGCAATAGGCAAGTGTAATCCAAGAAAATCTTATGTAAAATATAATTATGTATTTTTAATTCAAAATAGTTGTATTGATTTAGCCCCTAAAAATATAAACGGAAAATAATTGCTAAATCTATGTCTAAATTAATTCACAGAGGAGCTGGGACGACATAAACTGCAAATTGACTTATGACAATCTTTTGAGCTTTAGTACAGGTTCGGCGCGTGCTAGGCTTTTGGCCGTGGGTACGCATGAGGCCGGCTACTGGCTTCACGCGTATCCTTCGTCAAATACAGGAACATTTCTTGAGCCTGACACGCTCCGAATCGCAACCTGTCTACGGCTTGGGGTTCCGGTCTGCGCTCCTCATAAATGTCCGTGTGGCAGTGACGTCGACAAGCTAGGATATCACGGGCTATCATGCCAAAAAAGTGCAGGTCGCTTCTCGAGACATGCAGCTCTTAACGATATCATACGCCGGTCTCTTGCCACCGTCAACGTGCCAAGTCTACTTGAGCCGTCTGGTATTGCAAGAGACGATGGCAAGAGACCGGACGGTATGAGTTTGATTCCATGGAGGATGGGCCGGGTGCTGATATAGGATGCAACCTGTTCAGACACGCTGGCCCCTTCCCATCTACGTGGAACCAACAACAGAGCTGGTGCGGCTTGTGAAGCGGCAGAAAAGGCTAAAGTTTGCAAATACAGGGGTCTAGGCTCCGAATATATTTTTGTCCCTTTCGGTGTCGAGACCCTTGGTCCGTGGGGTCCTAGCGCTATAAGCCTTTTTAAGGAAATATCAAAAAGGTTAATCGACGTCACAGGAGACCGAAGAGCTGGCAGTTACCTCGGACAAAGAATTAGTCTAGCTATTCAACGGGGAAACGCTGCCAGTATCTTCGGAACCTTGCCTAAAGGACCTCTTTTTTAATAATTTAATTTAGTTATTATAATATATATTTTTAAGGTTTTTAGTATTAGTATTAATTGTAAATATTATAATTTAATTTCATTAATTATATTTCTAAATTGCTACATAAGTTTATGTCCTCGTCAGAGGTCTTTCGGTTTCAGCTACAATACATTTCTACGTTCTCATGCGAGTACTGTAATTTTATTCTGTTTAGACAGGATAACAGATACATACATCTTAATAGTTCTAAATTAATCTAATGCTCTATATGAAAGTAAAAAAGAAACGATATTAAATATCGAATATCAACCTTTATCGTCAAGTTGAAGTGCTGAAAGCGAGCAACTTTGTAAATATCGGGAAAATGTTAATGATAATGCATTAATATGGAACACGTCGATTTAGTATATCGATGGCGGGAAGTGTGTTCATCTAGAACAAGAACCAAATAATGGACCAGTAGTTTAATATTACTTATGCTGACATTGCAAGTGATCAATGTATGGTTAAATTGTCGCCTCTAAGATATCAAAAGCGAAACAGTCTCAACAAAAAAGGTTAGATATTTTGATTAGATTTTTTGATTTTTTTTTAAATTCATTGAGATATTTTAAATCAAATTTGGGAGAACAAATGGTTGAGGATGATGATAAGCTCTCATAAATCTTAAATGCTCGGCGGAGTAACCAACGACCAAAAGAACAAAAACGTGGATTAGAAATCTATCCCTATCTTTAACTTGAAGCACCCATAAAGCAGACCACATCCCAATCATGACCGAAAAGCAGAGACGCTTCAGATTTCGAGGCTGTTCTAAAAAATGTAAAACTACATAAATGTTCCAAATGTGCCACATAATTATGTTTAATTATACAAAGTGCTGCCTAAATTTTCATACTTACTTTTTAATGAATATATTATTAATTTTTTTATCTTGCAATTGTAAAGAATATACTGAAATACTTTGTTCAGTGAATAATTAAATAGCAATTTTAGTTTATGCAAAATTTTAAATAACGTTGATCTCAAAAGTGAAGTTATAGAATCTTAATAAATAAAACATACACTAGCTAGTTGTTACTAGATTTTATATCTAGAAAATATTTTTTACAAAGAATGATTATTAATTTAATAAAATCAGAGCATTTTCCGTTATTAAATGTAACAATTAAGTGAAATAACAAAAATACCTAACAAAATGTTAATCAACTGCTTTTATTTAATACTCTCAGAGCGTACTCGCACGAGGACCAAGTCGTCGTGTACTCAGTCGAGAACATATGGAAAACTTCAGGAAAAACCATAGAATTATACAATTATTTTTGCCAGATACAAATTATTATATCAAAATACGATCGTCGATACGAGAGTACTACGATCGCCGGTCCTCAAAACTGAGGTAGAGGCTTATTTCCAACAATGGAATTATGACAAAAAGCAAAATAAATAGTAATAAACATTTATTATTACGAGTATCAATCTTTTTAAATGTTTCCATTCAAAAATAATATGTACTTATGTTGATTTAAAACGCAAAACTTTTATTTCTCGTAATAAGTGGAGAGTGGTGGAATTGCGGACACATAATATTATAATAAAAACTATAACATGAGCAGTTATAAGTACATTTTTCAATATAATTAGAGTTTAGTTATATCCTTACAAAATTAACATAATCTTTTAAATTTAACTAATCAATTAATATGGGCAATTGCGAATCCTGTGGGCTATTTACGGATTATCTATAGTTTGTAACAAAATCACAAATATAACCACTAGACGTCGACCCAGGATATCCAGATCCTGCGGGAGACAAAACATCCAAGCGATAGGAAGATTATTTTATATTTTTGTATCTTCCTTCTTTTACATCGTGTAAATTTCTAGATATTTAACTCATTTCTTAGACTTTGTATAAGCGTACTTCTTTTCCTTTATAAGTATAAGTATAACAAAATTTCAAATATCGTGAAGATATAATATAGAAGTTATTGTTTTTATCACGTTTGTCGAAAATGAGTTTTCATTAAATCTTTACGTTTTGAGGTCACAGGAAGCCAACCTGACAATTTTTCGATGGTGTCTTTATGTCTGTATGTATGTGTGTGTGTGTGTGGATGTATATAAACCTCTTATAAATTTTGAACGACTTGACCGATTGAAATGAACTAAGTGGATTCCCAGTGTTTCATCAAACTTATATTTCCTATGAATTTTAACTAGATTTTGAGAAGTCTCAAAAATAAAATTATTGAAAAACTGTTTTTTCCGGTCAAAATCGGTTGATACGTTCGTGAGATACCGTTGACGAAAAATTTTGAAAAATTGATTTTTTTAAATTTGGTGAAATTTGGTGACCTTTGCATTTGAAATTAGCGGGAAGTTCCAGGGATGGCGTGCAGGGTTAACCAATTTTTTTTAATATTCTCACTCTTTGTTCCCTTTTAACTACTTCCACATGTTTAACTTAATTCTTCATTCTTACATTTTTTGTTTATGCTTTTCTAATTTCTGTTTTACGGAAATGCAAAGGTATATTTATAGTATCAGAAAAGCTTGCGCATGTATGAGTTGAACTTGGGCTTCATTATTACATAAAAATTACACGTGTGTGCTCATGCACGTTATCATCAAGCTCTCAGACGTTTAAGTTTTTTTTTCTTATGCAGAAGATGAATCTGAGCATATTTGAAACCATTGAGTACTTTTCCATATTTCTATATTTGGATAAAAGGATTTATTTCCATAGTTGGATAAAAGGATTTTTCGTGAAAAAGACCAACAACATTAAATCATCAAATGTGCGTATTTTCAACCCCAGAGTTATTAACCATGTGCTTTTCACACTTCTCAAGCCAAGCGGTAGCCTGCTGCTGCCACTATATTGTTAGTACTTTCCTTCTGGTGGTGGATAGTGTGAGATTTCTAATGGAGAAACATAGCTGACGCTAGCATTTCATGATACGTGGACGTCCTTATTTACCCCATCTCTCACGTCCGCAATTGGCCCAATTATAATTTTTGTACACCTGAAATATTTTTGAGTTTATGATAGCACATATGCTTAAGTTTTTGCTACAGTATTAATGGAGTAGTCCTTATGATTTCGGTGCAGAACTTACGTTTCGGTAATACACATATCACTGCATATACACGTCAATGAAAATAGCCAAAAACTGTAAAAAAAACCATAAAGATTTTGTCTGTACATACCTTGAAGTGCGTTCTCGGCCTTCCGTCTTAACTACTGTCCGTGCACTAAAAATGCGAATGCAAAAAAATTATAGGAATTGCGAAATGCGAAGAGGGCTAACCTTCAAGAAATAACAGCGTCCGGAATTACCCGGTGTCCGTCATCACCCCACTCTACGCTTACTACAAATCTTTATTAATGACTATTACCATAATTTCTGTTTTAGTTACACCCGAATCAATAGTCATCCCGATTGTTTCCTGTATATTTGGATTTCCATTGCTGGCATTAACAGTTATTTGTTGCCTTAGACGAAGGGCAAAATTAGCCAGGTAATATTTTAAACATGCTGTTATTTTAAATATTATTCAAAACTTCTCCTTAAAGTTATATTGTTAAGTTAATTTTATAATTATGTTATAACAAAAATGTATGCATATTATTATTCGTGTTTGATTTTATTTCTGGTAGCAGAAAATCAATAAAACCACAATTATTTCTCTCGTGATTTACTATTGGGCTGTTACATTTCTTTTAAACTAGGTGGTTAATCCATTCCTTTTTAATGGCCAATGAATTAGCAATTGATAAGAAAGGAATATTCAATATTGCAGCATGTATGATTCGGCTCAACTGAATCAAATGGTACCGCGATCACATATAAAACCAACTTTAAATAATAGCATACTATGATTCAAATGATGAGTTATGAGGACCGGGAATCCTTTTCACTGGTAATGAGGCATTCTCTCTCTGTCCTCCATAGTTCCATGTAGTGATATATCAAAAATGGACTTTGGAAAATTGAACCCATTACAATAACTTTCTTCTTTTGATAGGCTATTAATAATGAAGGAATGAAACAATAACTTTCTAATTTGTAGTTAATATATTGAGCCATGTTTTTTCCTTTATCAAGGTCATTATAGGTTTGCTTGGCTGCACTACTTCGAGAGATAATTACCATTTATAGCTATAAATTGCTATATAAGTTCAAACAAAATTTGTAAACTATCCTTTCGTCACATATGTTAGCCCCTAGTACCCTAGTTCAAGATCCTTTTCTATCGCTTTAACAAACTTTCAAAGTTTAAATCCCTTCAACTACAAGGTTAACAACTTTTGTTTTCTACCTTTGATATATTAAGGACTCTCCAAATTCTCTTTCCTTTAAAATACTCATTTTATTTTATTTTATTTTTGATATTACTTGCTTTCTGCCTTCTGATTATATTAGTTATATAAAATATGAAATGTGATTACGTAATACAGTGATAATTTAAAACCCTGCTATTTATAGAGAACGAGCAAGACGTCGTAACTGCGAATTAGATCGTGGAGAATTATCAGTGGTACGACTATCGCCGGTAAAGAGCCGAGTACGTGCCGTGAGTCTAGTGCGCACTCCTCGACCATTACCAACTCTTGAGCTCGACACAGTACTAGAAGAACGTTCCGATCCTGAACAGACTACACTTTCGCAAGTAATTGAAATAATAATAAAAATTTTATTACACACATTGTTTCAAATTATCAGCAACGACATATTGCGAGACATACTGCTATCGTAAATGCCTGCCACCTGCGATGCGTGCCAATTAAGATAAATTCTCTCTACAACGCAACGATAGAGACCCGTGTACAGTAGTGGGACTTATAAGAGATTTATTAAAGAAGAAAAATAGAATTAATTTCTTACAATAATAATATATAGATAATATTATGAGTAAGTATTCTAAGAAGTTAGTTTCAGCCTATATACGAGTACGTCTTAATTCCTCGTATAAGCATTAGTATATGTTACACTATATCATAGTCAATTGTAAGGCGATTTTGGTGATTCCTCTCTTATTAAATATATTATAGTTCAGGTTTAGTCCCACATAAATTTGAAGAATAATTTCCACCCCTAATTACACTTCAAGGGTAGCAAATTAGGGGATTGAAGTTTTAAAGGCGATATTCCTGCGTCCACTCAAAAGGACAAAAAAATAACTTTTAATAAAGCCGACTACAATTAACTAAACAGAAAATAATTTCACTGTCTTAGCACCGCCTTAGTAAAGTTACAGCCTATATACGTCCCACTGCTAGGCACAGACCTCCCCTCATTTCTGAGAGGGTTTTAGGACAAGAAAATGTCCGCCGCGTTGCCCCATTGCGTGTTGGCGAACTTCACATGTCTTCGAAATATATATTTTTTCTTATTTCTCAGACATGCAGGTTTCCTCACGATGTTTTCCTTCACCGCCGAGGACGTGGTAAATCAGCACTTAAAATTGCAATTAACAATTTAATTGGTGCCGGCGGAGATCGAACCCGGTTTGCTCGCATACTGTGCTATTTACAGCGAGCGCTAACCATCTGAGCTACCACGGCTCACAGCACCGCACCGCCTAGGGAATGTGGAATTATTTTATTCTTTTTAGTTCTTTGAATTCAACTTTTACTTTCTATTAAAAGTTATTTTTTTACTCTGAGGATTATTAAGCAGTATTATAGTATTTACATAGTAAGTTAAAGTAAAATACAGCTTAAGATAAATAACTAATGAAATAACGCAAACTAAAACGCTTATTTAATTTATTTTATTTTATCGTATCGAAAAACTTACAGCTAAAAGCTATATTATGGTTGTAGAACGAATGGGTCGGCTCGACCGGGGAAGGACCACGCTCTCACAGAATACCAGCGAAAAATAGCAGCTCAATGCTGCTATGTTTCGTATGGTGACTGTAGAGAACCGTAGACACTTTTTACTGGAAACGAGACATTCCATCTTAGTTCTCAGGGGTGAAAACGCGTCTGCCTTTTGATTCTTATTCGAAGATAGATTTAGATGTTAATGGGCCACAGCATCCACTTGCCATCGGATAGACTGTATGCTCATATGTCACACTTATTCTATAAAAAACATCAAGTAATACACTAATAGGTAAAGGAAAAATACCAACTACAAGTTTTCACATATTTAAACCAGAGAACATATACATATTGATGTAAATATATAATTTTGAAGTGTCATATTTAAGTGTCATTTGATTCATGTGTGTATGAAGTGTGTTCATTACCACCTAGGGATAAAGCTACATATACATACATATACTGGATGACCTTTTTTACCGTCTGGAAAAAAATAGGTTGTAACATGTGAACGGAGTAGAAGCCTATGGCGCTGATTTTTTACAGGAAATAAAAACAAAAATTTTGAATTAAATAAATTAATTAATCAGAACATATTGAAATTCAAATCATAGCTACCCTACTTTATGAACGGCAATAAAACAATAAATTTAGTAAGTATCTTTGACCTTGTCACTTCGCAGGCTCACAGGTTCAAAGGTAAAGGGCAAAGTAATTGTTAAAAAAAATTCAAACGTTTATTCAAATTTTTTGTTTTTATTTTTTGTAAAATATCAGTGCCATAGGCTTCTACTCCGTTCACATGTTACACCCTATTTTTTTTCAGACGGTAAAAAAGGTCATCCAGTATATACGTCACAGCTGTAATCCTCGAAGGGTTAGGCAGAGTACGAGGAACATCGAGCCAACAAAAATATTATTATAGATGGAAAGTTGTGAGAGAAGTGATAGATTGCTAGCCCATAGCCCTTACAATAAACAAACCCAATATCCCATCAGTAGCGTTTTAAGAGATACTATGCAAGTAACACAGTTAGCACATTATCTTTGTCAGGAGCCTGTCTCAGTATGACATGGGATCTGTTACACCATACATTTTTATTTTCAGGTAGACATCACACCGGACCGAGAAGTGGGTACGATATTATTCAGTGCGATGGGCGCGGTAGGTACAGCGGCAGCTGCAGCGGTGGCATGCGCTCGAGACAGCTAGCGTCGGGACTCGGCGCAGCTCGGCGCACGCTCGCCGCTTTGGGCCGCGCTCACCAGTCAACCACTCGACGAGGACGAGGCTGAAGACCCCTCCTCCGACAGCTAACAAGAACTAGACGATCGCTCCGTCGCCGACATCGGCAAGCGCATGCAGATGTTCTTGGACATTCCACTAAGATTTTAGTTTCAGGGCTTTAGTTTGTTAGGGCAAACAAAGGACCTTTACTTCAAAACATGACTATTGTGGACTTAATGATTCGAAGCTTGTATACGTCAATTTTAATGTATCTATATAAGCGCTACACCTGATGTAAAGCTTTGTTATTTATATCGTACAAATTTATATACCACGGAAATTATTTCAACTTTGGTGGTATTTAACATACGTTCCGTATGTTAAATTCGTATTTTAAAAAATCGTTTGAAAGTTACGGTAGTCTTTACATGTAGTGTACTTTTTGACATATCTTTGCACATGTTGCTGTTTTAAACACTTGCAGGGAACGGGTTGTAAATAAACCTATATATAATATAAATAAATTAAAATAAATAAGTAAACTTCTGCGACCAAATTATTTCACTCGCTTATGTATGAACTATTGTAAGGTGAAACAAGAAATCTAATTAGTCTCAGAGAAACCGGTTAATTTTAAAATATCGTAGTTTATTTGTGGTTTGGCAAAAATATTTACTCAGCTATGATAGTAGTAAATAACTATTGCAATGTATATATATTTTATTAGAAACATTTGTAGATTAGGCCCTCAAAATTAAGGTTTTCAAATTAAGCGCTTTGCACCAACTCTGTCAATTAGAATTAAAACAAAATCATAATGACTAAACTATGATTATATACTTAGTAATGTGAAGCAACAGTAACATTGGAACTAAAGGTCAAAGTATTATTACATGCTAAAATGTATATTACATAAATTTTTATTGAAACAATATATATCGTAGTTGTGTATGATCATTGATCACATATCACATTCTAGATAGACTCTTGTCGAAATTACATTAAATATTGACACGTAAAACGTGACACGTGACACGTGACACTAGTAAAACACGTAGCGCTTAAAGTCCAGATTATAAATTCATGTAGCGATCTGGCAATATTTTACAGGACACATTAATAACCTATTATCATAAACATAATAGTGCGCCTAATACTATAAACATTTCATTCGTTGCTTTAAGCGTTGCATGAAACGCTATAATCATCATCTTGAGGGAAATCAAAAAAATGATTAAGCCAAAGTTCAAAGAAAGTTTAATGTTTAGATTTTATAATTACGGGCTTAACATGATATTAAAAATATTTAGATATAATTTTAAATAGCGTCATATTCGTAATATATGAATAATCTTACCGACAAAATAAGTTTATACAAATATATATATGTATTAGATATAGGACCTATTTTAAACATATTTTCTTTTTTAAAATGATATCTGGGTTGCATGTTAAACGACCGTTTGCTGTCGCGCTGTGCCCGAACGACCGAACAACCGAGAGAGACAGTTGCAGCTCTGACTATGTATACCAATTAAAATTTTACCTAATCATCCTCTCGTATTCCCCTGTGTCCTCTCCAAAACTGGACTGATTTAATTTTTTTGTTTCATGAACAATATAAGAAGATAATAACCATGTCTGTATGTTCCTTTTTATTTTTTAGTCCGTTAAATTTGTTTGCTGGATGTTTAATAACTGCGGTAAAAAAAACTGTACAGTTTCAGTAATTTAAGAACTTTTGTCATTTTTAAAATAATTGATTGGGAACATGATGTTATAAAAATATGGAAGCATGCAGGATACAGATTATATCGTAAAAGAATATTTATCTCTGCAGTCATTATCCTGGGAGAAAACAGAGGAATATATTGGTACGAACTATGAACTAAACGCCGACTTTATAATTAACAAAACTTTTTATTATGTACTCATTTACTTACTGTTATTTGTGGGTTTGCTATTATAATAAAAAAATCCATAGTGTCTTGAGATTCAGCTTTTCTGATTTTCAGATTTTCGAAATCTTTAAAAATTTGTTAAATCTATCAAATTAAATCTTTTAATTATCGAAGGTCGATATTTTGCTGGTAATTAAGTGCATTAGTTATTATTTATTTGTTTGCTTAAATATCTTTCATTGAAACTCGATTTCGTGACGAAATTTTACTTTCTATGTTGTAAAACGAGTGTCAACCATCTCAAATATCAACATCATCTAAGCTGAAATGTATCACTGAGTTATCATGGCGAAAATATGTTTTTAAATAAAAAAATTTCAACATTTTCTAATCGCAGAGGATGCAAACAAGCATGCGGCTCACCTGATGGTAAGTGAAGGTAAGTGTTACATGGCTGAGTAATTAAATATATGCTTGGAGGAGGTGTGTAATCAATTAAACCTTAAAGTAAGGCTTAAGTGGGCATCTTACGATTTACGAGTGGTTGGGGGCGCCTTTTTTGCTTATAAGTGTTTGGGTTAGTGTTTCATACCACTCTTTCACTAATTTTTTTCTATTTGCATTGTTGTGTTCTAGTTTGAAGAATGCGAGAGAATACTATGGGTCTTCTTATATGGATTGAAATATCAATAATCTATAGGTTTGTTTTAGTTGCCTCACTTTTCACTCTAATATTATTAAAAAAATCCAATATTATTATTCTAATATAATAAAAAATAACGAAGCTATCACGCTAGAAGTTTTTTGCCTACAGTAGTTCGGTAGCTATTTAGCCGCCCCATTAAATTACCCAATATAATGAGTTTTACCATTTACAGTGCTTGAATTAATTAATGTTCTATTGGTTTCAAGTAATACTTATCTGTATTTGGATTTACATTAATGTAAAAAAGTAATATTAAGATATAAATAAACCACTTTAAACTAAAAATGATGTTTTATTTCTCATAAGAATTGTAAAGGATCTTTGAATTATTTTTATTTTCTCATAATGTTTCCTTTTACTGGCACCATGTAGTAAATAAGCACCTAATACTGTTTAATAATAAAAATTTCGTTGGTGACAGCTGCTATCGAACTCGGTTTGCTTTAGCTAAATGACATTTAAAGGTAAACGATTTTTCCTTAAACTAACACGGTTTGTTTTTTTTTTTTCATATTTTTCATTGTTTCAGCCTATAATAGCCCACTGCAGGGCATAGGCCCCCTCCACAGATTTCCTCGTAGGGGGTGTATTTGTAATGGATGCTATGCTTATCAATCAGGTTGGTGGCCGCTGTTTTTATATTATTTAGTTGTTATTAAGTTGACGTTGCTGCCCACCTCTCGGTTTTTCCCCCTTGTCGCCGCTTACGATACCCCCGGGACGATATGAGGTAGTGGATATTCTTGCATCACCAAAAAACGGTTATTTTATCCTAATAGCATATAACGCAAAAATAAATCATATAGCACTTGAAATTCCGTTAATTGAACCAGAACTTAACCTACTTTTTAGTTGAAGTGGGTTATGTAAAAGGGATTCTACCTTCAACTTTTTCAATAGCAGTTAATTTTCGTTGGCCGTTTTTGCAAAGTGCTAAAATTGCTGCTGAATTATTACGAAGTACGAATTTTACCTTATTCGACGGACTTTTCTCTTTTTTCGTTATTGAAAATATCTATAAATTTTCAATTACAAAACAAAAAAGTCATGATATTTTTAATAAAATGTTTAAGATATGTTCATGAATGATTCATTGTATAACTTCTTATAATTTTATAACATAGAAAAATAAATATTAATTTATCATCAATCATCAGCAAGCAGACCATCACAATTCCGCTGCTGAACATAGGCCTCATGGCCTCTCGTGACACAGATCACGATCCTTATTTTAGAAGGTAAAATTCGTATGCATACCCACCTCGCGGGGACAAGGACGAGTTATGGTGGACTCGCACCGACTAAAACCCCATAGTGTTCCTCCTTCACCACATGTTGGCAGGCCCATGGGAACGCTTCAAGTTCGGGGAGAACTCCTCCCCCCTTTTCGTTTTTAGGTTAGGCGCACCGGGAACACAAGACGCGCCTTCCTCCGCGGGCTCAACTTCACATGCGCAATGGACTCCTCGAGCCAGATACACGGAGTCTATGGGTCGAGATAAAAAAGCACTCGGAAGAACCAGCTTTCCTGACTGAGAGAGTAGCGACAGCAGCAATTTGCAATGTCAACACTCTTCTCCCCCCGCGCTCACCACCACCGCACAAACGGTGTGGCCCCGCCGGATTCGCTAAGAATAGGGTGAATGGTAGGGGGAGGAGACAACCATCTTGCCACAGCCCCCAAACACACATACAAAGTGGGCTTGCTAAGCCCTCTCGAAGTGGCCATGGCCGGCCCTTGACCTCAGCCACCTTGGTCCCTCGTAGTTCAAATGAGGTTCCGTGTGTGGTCACGCTACGACTACTAAGCCCCCAAGGCGGTAACCCGTTCGGGAGGGGGGGGGTAGTAGTAGGTACTAACAAAAGTTATGCTTAGTTAATATCAATATTGATTAAAACTTCTTTTACGGATTCTTTCGCGTTTAAATCATTTGATTTTTAATTCTCGTCGTTTCAAAACGTCGAGAATTATTATATTATAAGTAATAGATTTAATCAGAAGTAGTGGTCACATAAATATAAGGAATCATTAATATCAATATATTATAAACAATTAAAACATTGCCATTTAGTCGGAATGGCGTTGGGCGACGTAGGGGCCGAGTGAGGCTCGTCTCCCTTTTTCGCGGCGGTGTACTTACGCTTTTTTACCCGAAACTAGGATGAAGCCTTCATCTTCGGGTTTTTCGGGTCGGTGGTTCTCATAAATGAGAGGCGGCCTAGTAGTGAACCCTATATAATATATTATATGCTCCACATTTCACAACGCAATATTTAAATAAAACTAGTTTTTACGAATTTTGTCGCGTTTATTAACTTATTTTATATTCCTGACGATTAGAGTATTTTACAGCACCCATGATCACGGAGGTGTTCAA